GTGTCACGGTGCCCATTTCGTGACACGGGGATGTTTTCCGCGTACTTTTTTACCGTGACACGGTGTACTGTACCGTTCCACGGTGGACAATGCCGTGTCACAGTGCATGTGCTGTGACACGGCATCTCCGTGTCCTTTCCGCGCAAACCCTTCACGCGTCTTCTCTCCCGTACCTTAATTATTTCCCGTGTCGCACTGTTTTCCACCGTGTCACGGGAGTGTGCCCCGTCTGACGGTGCCTGGCACCGTGTCACGGTGTTCTCTGCCGTGTTGCGGTGTTAATTTTTAGGGTTTTATCTTTTTAGGGTTCCGTGTGTTCCCTCTGCTCATTTTCCCTATAAATAGAACCCCTCTTTCTACAGTTCGGGGCATCAAATAACTCTCTCTTCCTCTCTTTTACACCAAAAATCATTCTCTTCTCTCTCTTTCTCTTATTTTAAGCCTTAAACATATATTTCTAATTATACCATTCTTCCTTAAGCACTCCAAGGAGTTCATACAACACCCGAGGTTCCGTCCTTAAACCAAGGCGTGAAAGGTACCAATAACTGAGGGTTTGGACCAAATTAAATCTACATTTATTTAATTTAATTTTCATTTGATTTATATATTTTATTGAAGTTACTTACAATTTATTCATGATGTAGAGATTTAAAGGAACGCGCGGAATGTGAGTAATTAATTAATTTAATTACTCTTATTTATTTTTATATTGCTAGTATCATGATTAGGTTAATTTATTATTCGATTTGACTAACGCTATTATTGTTAAATTGCTTCCAATATTAATCTTTATTCTATAATTATTATGATCACCATATTGCATGTTTAAAGGTAATATGTAATTGAAAATCACGTCTAATAAGATAATTTGGACAACCGGTTAGGTTCCTTTTTAATCTTGTTGTTTAATCAAGTGATCACTAATATTTTAGAATTATGTGTTGCATTAATATTAAACCAATTTAGCTTAATAATAGATTGGAGCAAATTGAATTTTTGTTTGTATGCCTTTGAGATCGCAGGAATACTTTTCACAATAAGAATCGAGTAGATGCCCCATACGAGCGAATGTGACTCCATGACTCACTTCGTACCATCATCCCCGATCCTCCTTTCGTGGTTCCGAACCATATGGAGTTAGTAATCTCAATGGATTATGAATGGGGTGTAACCTTCACGAGTCAATCGTTGTTGCCTTCGTTGTCCCTTATTCGTTGTTGCCTTTTTATGATCCGTGAACGGTTTTACAAGTTCCTTATAAACTTGTTGGCGGCTCTCTACTTTCCTTGTCCCTAATCGTATATGTCAATTCCCACTTCCTATGAGTACGAAGCATATTCACCATATGCTTAGCGTAGGCGCACATTCAAACGACGCCTATAACAACTGATTTTTCTCTCAAACTTTTAGGCAGTTTTGGTTTACTTTTTAGTTAGCTGGTGTTTTGTTTCTCTTTTAAGGCCTTTTTTTTTTAGTTATTTCATGTTTAAGATAGTAGGTTTTGTTGGCTCCATATAAAAGGAGAAGAAAACCCTTGTATAAAAAGATTTCCCAATTTTAATTTTTGAATGATAACTTTCTCTCCTCTTGCATCTTTGTGAGTAATTTTAAATCATTGTTGTGCAATTTGCTTTTCAATAATCTTAACAAATTTTGTTTGAGTTAAGCTTGAAACCCTTATTAAATTGAACTCTGCATGTGTTTAGTGAATCAAGTTTATATTTTTACTGGGTTATTTGTTTTCTCATGAAAATCCCCATAAGATTCTAAACGACAATGAAAATGCCAAAATGGAGTAATTTTGGGGATATATAATTGACTCTCATGTCAATTATTTCTCATCACTACTGAAAGGAAACTTGTACCCAAATACTAGATTAATCGCTCTAATGAAATACATTTCACAGAAAACAAAACAAAACTACCTACCTTGTGAAAAGGGGGAAAGATGGGATGGCCTGGTCACACAACCGTAGAGCAATTCTATCTGTGACCAATGACCCAAAAATTAGATTTCCACTGATCCAATAACATATGAGCGATATACATGGTCTCCAAAGTCTCCATTTGCATTTTATTTGTGTACTTAACTTGGGCTTGACTAGGCACATTGCATATATGTTTCAGCTTAAAAGTTAAAAAGGCTTGTTTTATATTGTGGAACAAGATTGTATTAAATCTAGTTAATTTATATGGACATATATAAAAGAAATGTACTTGCTGCTCAATCATAACAAACCAAACATCACATTTATTCATTACATAATCTATTGCATGTCCATTCACACAACTAACAATGTCACAAGGCTCAATAACATATATTTTCAAGGGAAATAAAATAAAATAAAACATTACAACAAACATAATACATATCACAAATTACAGCATACTACAAACATATGTAGCTGATCCACCCATGTTCTCATAGACTTTAGCAATGACACATCAAACAAAGCATAAATGGTTGATAATATAAATATGCATATTGATGCTTAAATTCAAGGCTTATTTGTCCTGGCGATGGTGATGATCATCGATTTCTTTGGCGAGTTTAAGTAATTCATCCATCAGAGAAGAAGGCTCAGGGACACCGGGGTGCTTCTTCTCGTACTCGAAGGTCCAAGTAACTAAGCTAAGTTCCTCACCTTTAGGTATCACTTGGTATGTAATAACAAAGGTGTTGTAGTCCTCCATCAAATCTCCTTCCAGCATTCTAAATTTGATTATTTTGTTCTTCTCGTCTACCACGTCTAGTACTTTGCTTCCCTTTTTGAACCTTTCCATCTACAACATTATATGATTGGCAATAATAAAGTTATATTTCAACATTATAATATTACTCCAAGAAAAAAAAATTGTGTCGGCAAATAATATATATATATATACAATTATACATCACCCAATAATTCTATTGACACTTTACACAACCATATTTAACAAGCTTTTATGAATTTTGCAATTATGATATAAATGTGTCAGCAAATATATACATCCCCACTTATATTACAACAAAGGAATATTTTATGTCTCACAAATAATACCCCTTTGTTGCTATTAAAAATTAACGGAACTAGTAATTATACGACACTATTCACAACTTTATATACTCCTCCGTGTTTTAAACAAGTGTTACAGTTTGACCAACCACTCATGCCGAGACACTACTTTGACTAGTAATTTATCTAATTATATGTTAGTAAAATCATAGGAAATTTAATAATATGAAAGTACACATTATAACCAATCCAACAATATATTATACAATAACATTTGTTTTTTTTTTAATATATATTGGTAACTTAATTAAGTCAATACCATAATGTGAATAGTGAAAAAAGTCAAACTGTAAGACTTATTAAATCACGGAAGGAGTAAAATTGGTAAATTTTAAATTTAATTTTTTAGAGTAATAAAATTTTCTTAAAATTTTTTGGTAGTAAAAACCAATCCAAGAAATAATAATAATAATAATAATAAATAATAATAATAATAATAATAATAATAAATAATAATAATAATAATAATAATAATAATAATAATAATGGAAAAAAAAAACCTTTAATTTTTGGAAATCTACTTAAATAAAAAAAAATCATAAAACATTTTTTTTTTGTTGTCTGCTCGACCCGGCTATGTGATCAATACTTCCTCCGTTCTTTTTTACTTGACCCGCTTTGACTTTTACACTATTCACCACCTCTCCTTTAACCGTCTTTTGTGAATGATAGGTAAGGAAAAATATATTCATATGATATCTTCTTTAATTCGTCTCAATAAGTACTATCATAATATACAACTTTTATAATTTTTTAATTATGAAGAATTAAACTTATTGATCACTAAAGTTTTGCATTGGCAAGCGTGATAAAAGAAACAGGTCAAGTAAAAAAAACAGAGGAAGTATAATGTAAACACCTTCAACAACTCTCTTTCTCTAAAAGATTTCACTCCACCATGTTAAATCTCTTGATTGTTGATTCACACGTACAAATCTAAGAAGAGAAGTTTGTAAGGACGGAGGATGTATGCTATTAAAGGACATTTTAATCTGTTTTATAATAATTGACATATATAGTCAATCTTGACAATTATTTGCCTAATGCACAATTTTGACACTCATTTAAGTATATATTTCTTTTGTTTCCTTTTTCTTTTATTATTTCATGGCCAAATTTTTAAAAATTGAAACAAAAATTCTCATTAATATATGTAGTAAATAGTTATTATAAGTTTTGCTACTGCATAATAAAAAATGTTACTGTCAAATTTAAGTCTTGACGAATGTCGAAAATCAAAATAGGAACAACAAAATGATGAGGGAGAATATGTTAATAAATAATTTTGAAATGATTAATATTCTAAAAATTTACATTAAAACGGATTGTTATAAAATGAAAGGAGTAACATGTAATATGGAACAAAACGATTAAAATAGTTGTAGTAAAATTTGATTTATGAATAGTAAAAGAAACTCAAGCGTGTTAATCAATTGTTATGGAACGATAGGAGTACTACAAAACATACAAATTTAGTATCTTATGATATATTTTATATAAGATAAGGAGAAAGACCCTGAATGTACCTCAACTCTTACGGCTTATTTGGTCCAATATGTACGGATAAGAGCACTTTGAGAGTGAGGTGGGGGGGGGGGGGGGGAGAACCCCCCTCAAAGTGTCTCTAGGGGACTAAAATCCTAACCTCAAAGTTAGAAAGTGTAATCTTTTCCATTAGTCCAAACTTAGCTTGGTATATCAGTAGTAATATTTATGCTTAGAATAATATACTACAATATTAGGATTGAGGAGGTACATTAAACATAGGCATTTGAGGTGATGACAGATTCATCACAATGTTATTATTATTATTATTATTATTATTATTATTTTATTATTATTATTATTATTATTTTGGTAATTTTTGCCAAATCAATATTACAGATATATATTGTTAAACAAATATACGTCTCATAGACCCAACAAAATAATATACGCAATATATATATATATATATGGTAAGAAGAATGCCCATCACTAGAAGATGGGATTGTAAGGGAAATCTCTCTTAAAGTATGCTTGGTGAGATTCGACCCCTGACCTCACGTCTGAAAGTTGGAGAACTTGACAAATATTTTACTCTCCTATCTCAAATACTTTAGGCACTATATTATGTGACAGATGAGTATGAATTTTTCTTAAAGTATGAGTACATCCTAGTATAGAACAACTAAATTACATATTTACATACAATTAAATAGTGTAATGGTAAATAATGTAAGTAGGCCGGTTAGAACATTACCTAGAGTATAATTCCAGCAAATTTTAGATCCAGGTTTACCAAAAGAACCATGATGCAAATCACAGCCTTGAACAAACTCAGGATGAATGTTTGCGATGTCATGAGGCTTCTCTTGGAATAATTCATGGAAAGCATCACCTCCAGCAACTCTTATCTCTATCTCACCTTCTAGCTTACGTTTTAAACCTGCCATTCTTCTCAGTTAGCTTATTTTAATAGAAGGCAACTTACTATTATGAAAATATTGATTTGGTGATGAAATTAGTATGAGTCATGTAGGAAACAATGAGATCTCTTTATAGGAACTCTCATCTTTCTTTATGTCTATAATTTATGATGGTGCGTAATAAACTAATGTGAAGTAATACACCTGTACATGCACCATTTCAATTATCTTTCAATCTCTTTTTACTCCCTCCATGTGCTTTTTTAACTGACACATTTTTCTTAAACGGCCGTTTTTTTTAAGTGACACTTTTTCTTTTAAAAATTTCTTACATTTTAATAACATATCTTCACTCCACTATTTCTTACTTTATCATTTCTCACTCCTTTCATGGTTCCACTTTCTCTCACATTCTTTTACTTTATCATTTCTCACTCCTCCAACCTACCCCACTAATATCTTATTTTATTAAAGTCAATAAAATCTCTTAAAACTACGTATTGGTCAAACTGTGTCACTTAAAAAAAACACGGACGGAGTATAAATTAAACTAAAATATTTCTTCCGTTTCATAATATATTACTCTCTATGTTCCGTAAAATAGTTCTCATTTCTCAAATTGTACGAGAATTTACAAATCGGATAGCGCTAGCTAAGCTTGTAATTATTGTAGCTCCCCAAAAGCTCATCTGACCCAAGGTAGTACGTATACTCTATAAAAGTAAATTAGATAAGTACAACAACAATAATAAATAAACACAAAGCAAAGTTTCATATGCGGTTGGCCGCAATATAATTTTCTTTTTATTTTTTCTCTCTTCTCTATCTCCTATTCTCTTTCCCGTTTTCTTCTTTCCACCTAATTAAACACAATGGCGGAGCTATGAAGGGGCCTGGGTGGCACCGACCCCACCATTAGTTTATTTTTTTTTTAATTTTATTAAGTAAAAGATGTAAATTTATAGGTTAAATACAATTTTAATGTAATAAATAACATCAAATTAGCTTTGCCATAATGATAGTGCATTGAATTTGAGTTAAAAGTATTGGGTTCAAGCCTTTATACAAGAATTTTATTTTTAGTTTTTATTTAGTGCCCCTCCACCTTAAATATTCTACATCCGCCACTGCCTAAACACACCCTTTCCCAAATTCTCTTCTATCTCTCCTCTCTCCTCTTTCTCTCTCCTATTTTCATCTTTTCTAGCTAGCCCACTCAAATTAAACAAGTTAAATTGAGCAGCGGTGGTAGGGGGTAAGGAAGCTCCTCGTACTCCGTCGCCGAAAAACAAGCTAGAGGTTTAAAGGCCAAATTCAGCCAGAGAGTTTTTATGGTTGAATTTGGCCTTTTTAGCCATATTTCAAGTGAAATTCGAAGCCAATGTTAATTTTGAGGTATTTGTTCGATTTAATTTTTTTAACAATTTTAATGTTTGTTAGTGGTACAGGAGTTGGTGATGGTGTGTTGTAGTTTAAGGTTTTGAGGACGGCTGTTGAGAAATGTTGGTGTTGGTGGTGGTTACGGTGGGTTTGAGTGTGGGTTTATTGTAACTAGGTTGGGGGCTACTAAGGGTTACCAGGTTGGTAAGGGGTTACTAGGTCGATTAGGGGTTACTAGGTAGAGGGTTACTAGGGGTTACTACGTCAGGGGTTACTAGGTCGGTTAGGGGTTACTAGGGATTGTTAGGTCAATTAGGGGTTACTTGGGCCGGGGTTACTAGGTCTTTTAGGGGTTACTGGGGGTTACTAGGTTAGAGGTTATTAGGTCGGTCAGGGGTTACAAGGTTAGGAGTTACTAGATCAGTTAGGGGTTACTTGGTCAGGGGTTACTTTGTCTGGGGGTTACTTAAGTGGGGTTACTTGAGGGGTTAGTAGAGGAGTTATTAATATGGCACCTTGCCGCATCGTACGGTCAGCCGCACCAAAAACACGTCGATAAATAAATTGGAAAAGCCAAAGAATTTTGTATGGAAAAAAATTAGGGTTGTTTTTGGTAACTAGTTTTTTTTTTAGCAAAATTAGCCTATTTGACCAACATTATCTTATTGACAACTAAATAAGCTAATTCAAGGTGTTTGGTGCGAAGTTTATTTAAAGAGTTTATTCCACTAAATAAGTTCTTTTTCAAAAGGAGCTTTTTCAATTAACTTATTAAATTTTTATGGTGAAATGACACTTATATCTCTATTTAATTAAAAATCTTATATGAACTACCTACCCCACAATTAGCTTATTAGTTATTTCACATAATCAATCAGTTATTTACCAAACACTTTTCTATAATAAGCTAATAAAATAAGTTAGTCAAATCAGTTAATACAACCAACTAGTTAAAATCAGCTACTCGTAACACAATCAGGTTCAGCTTTTCGCTTTCAATTTTTCCCCAAACACGGCCTAGGAAAAAAAGCATATGTTCTTTATTCGTATAGAAATTTTAAAAATCTTCCATATGACAAAAATTTCAACCAAATTGGCGAAACTTTAACATAAATTTTATATTTAAAAAAAAAAAATTAAATATCCAATATGACGAACTTTTTCAACCATAACTTTAGTATATTTTGCTATAACCTTCAGCATCATCATATCATCCAACAACAATTTGCGCCTCCTACGAAATGTCATAACATCTTTAAAATTCAATATGACGAAATTCAACAACAAAATAAGATATTAGTAAAATGAATAAATAACTAATTTTTAGTTGGCAAAAAATATAATACTTCACATTCTACTTTGTATTTTTTTTATTACTAGGGCCCTTAACGCAATCCGGCGCTTCATAGCTAGCTATAACTGGAAATTCTTTCCGTTTGGCGTGGTTAGTAGTTAGTATCGTTAATTAGAAAAACATACGTAAACAAATATTTTTAAAGGTATTAATGTCCATACTCTATTCTTAAAAGTTTAAAAAAAAAAAACCAGTAACAATTTTTTTTTTTTTACAGCTGGGAAATAAAGCAGGACTAAGTTATCTCTATCTCATTTTCCTGGCATGAGTTGCCAGATTATGAGCTCTAGAGGTAACACTCCTAGGAACATAGTAGCAGCAAACATAAGTTAGAGTCGAACATAAAGAAAGGATATCCGAAATTAAATTGTGTAGATCCTTGGGAGCCTGCTGTGGATTCCGTAAAGCTTCAACGCTCAGTCTGCTATCAGATCTGATTTCTAACTGCTTGAATCATTGGAGAGCAAGCAGCTCGCATTGAAGGGTCGAATTGCTTATAACACGCTTGCTTCCTTCCTGTAACAAGGCTTCCTCTTTTGTGATTACCTATCCTACTGCCGCAGAATCTAACTTCCCAAGAGCTTTCTTCCAAGCTCCGTCCACTGTTACCACTACTATTTCTTGTTTATCATGCGTTCCTCTTTGCCAATAGTTCAAATTCCCATTTCCCTGGCCCGAGGATGCCAGCTTTTTTGTGGCATACCCTAACAAGAAAGTTCCCTTCGACACCATGCTTAGCGCTTCCTTAATTATTTGCATTACTCGGGTGGGAGAAGTACAAGCAGTTTTGAAAATAATGTCATTCCTGTGCTTCCAGATAGCCTACATACTTCCAGCAAACGCGGGGAATTCTCTCTGCTTTTTAAAAGCATAGGCTAACATATTCTTTAACCACGTCTCCACCGGTAGTAGGCTATCTTGTACCCAATTCCTAAGGGACCACAGAGCCACACTCTCTTGGTAAACTCACAATCTCTGAAGAGGTGAGACGGCGATTCTCTTTCTTTGTTGCATAGAACACACTTTGTACTTACACTTATTACACCCCTTTTCTCAAGCCCTGTACAACAACTGCACGCATCTTGAATAATCTTCCAGCTAGTAGTAGCCAACTCGGCGGCAGGCTCAGCTTCCAAAAATCTTTCCAAAAAGGAGACCATTCTCCCCCTCTCGATGCCCCGCCAACCACCTATACCCTGATTTCATAGTGTAATCCCCATTATTTGTTCCTCCCCAAAGAATTACATCCTCCTTCTCAATTCTGGGTTGAGTAGAGAGGATGAGATTCACATCATCAGTACTAAAAAGTCTCTAAACTATCCCTGATTTCCATTCCCCTCTTTCATTCATCAACTCAGCTACTCTTCCATAATATCTCCTATCCTCCTCACTAGTCCCATCCTTCATTCTTACCATCCGTGCTGCAGTCCATCTATCCCCTTCACTTCTCACATCTCAGCCCCTTCCTATCTTATACTAGAAGCCCTCCCTCATAATAGTTGCTGTTTTCACCATACCTCTAAAATCCCACGAGGACCTACATGGTTTTTTCTCCTTTCTCCCCCAATCTATTGGTGAAATTCCATAATTCCCAGTAAAAAGCTTGCTCACCAGAGAACTCCTATTATTATGTATTCTCCAAGCTTGCTTTAGAATCATTGCTTGGTTGAGGTTGTGCACATTTCTCAGACCTAGTCCTCCCTCCACCTTGTGTCTTTCCAGAACCTCTCTTTTCTTCCAGTAGATTGGCCTTTTATCTTTTGAACCAGCCCTGAAGAACTTTAAACATAGGGAGCTAATTTTACCCAAGATCCTCTTCGGCAGCAGGTATATGGAGATCATGTGCGCCGTCACTACCACCAGGATAGAATTAATTAGCAGGAGCCTGCCCGCTTGGGATAAGGCGGTGAAGTTCCACGAGAGTATCTTATTCGAGATCTTGTCTACTAGATTGTCAAACTGAGATAGACTTCTTCCATCTATATCCATAGGGCATCCTAGATATACTCCAAAGGACGATCTGCTTGCCATACCTATGGATTTCCTTAGAATTCTCACAAATGTTGATGGAGTATTCGAGTTGAACATGACAAAAGATTTTTTTACACTAACTACCTCTCCTGAGATCACATAGAAATCCTCTAGCACCTTCCTCAGCTCCTTGCATTCTTTCATACTCGGCTCGAAAAAGATCAACGCGTCGTCTGCAAAAAACAAGTGAGAAACGGATGGACATCTTCTGGCAATCTTGATCCCGACAATTCTTCCCTGTTCCTGGAGCCAACTTAGCCTCGTTGACAGAACTTCCATACATAGGATAAAAAGATAGGGGGAAAGCGGGTCTACCTATCTCAGACCTGCCCTTGGGTAGAACCGGTCAGATTGGTCGCCATTCACAAGGATTGCGTAACTGACCGTAGAGATGCATTGACTAACCCACTGAATCC